GTCTGTGGGCACCAACATTGCCCTGAGAAGCCCCTCACCCCCTTTTCCCTTTTCGTGGCGCCTGCGCCTTCACCCTGGAGCATGGCTGGTGCAAACAAAACACGGCTGAGGCTTTCTGAAGGACCTCCCGTTGGCCAAACGAAGCCTGATATTTTCAGTCTCACCATTTATCCAAAGTTGGAGTGGATTTTGCAAGTGGACAGAAGGAGCACCCTCCTGATAATGAGAGGACTTGCTGCCCAGTTTCAAGCCTTTGCTCTCAAACGTCAACTGTTTAACTGAATTTGCTGAAATCTTCCAAAAGAATTCAGTACGAGGTGGATACTCCATAAATAAAATTTGTAACCTGGATCACTTACAAGAAATCAGTTCCTATGAGTGGTTCTAGTTAGTCCTGTAACTAGTAACATGGCAGAAACAAATAATACAAGAGATGATCACTTCATGACTCATGATCTTCCCCTCAAAGAGTTGGATTTGACTCTGATAAACCTTTTTTTTTTTTTTCCCTATCTTGGGATAAAAGTGGTGAAAAGGGGAAGGGAGAATCACAAGACAGTAACAGTAAAAAACAGTGTCAGATTTTGGCAAGCTAAATTGAAGACATGAGGTTGGTATTTGTCTTGGGCATCTCTAACCATTATAACTAGTTATCAGCTCGGTCCAGACATTTACAAACACTGATGGCCACAACTGCAAATCTCTTTATTTTAGCCAACAGCCTCAGAAGTGCACCAGAACATACCTTGCATCAGAGGTCATGGTCGTGAATGAAATATCCAATACTGGCAAAAAGAACTGCATTAAGAGTGTTGAACTGTCAATACAGAGACCGTATTTGGACACTGCACTCATTGGGAGCCAGGGTGCTCCAGAGCGGTTTGTTTGTGATGATCTGTGTTGCTAGGCAGATGGGCAGCTACAGCTTGTACCAACGGGAGCTTTTTCTGGACATGAGACTTGAGTTCCTAGAAATGAGTAACTGAAGTACCTTTAAAAAAGTTTCCTGAGAATGATAAACACTTGATTGTGAAAGTGATGTAAGAAAAACATACATACTCAGAAGGCAACTATACTGTCTAGGCTAGTATTTTCTTCTTTCGAGTTCTGCTTTGTTGGGGTAAAAATTAAAATTAAAAAAATCCCTCATTACCTGCCTCATGGTAACTAATAATAGTAACTACCTATATGAGGCATGGTACTAATATTCAGTAACCAAAGTTAAATGCTCCTTTCTCTTTACACTAACCACTTTCATTCTCTCTTCTCTGAAACAAACACTGCAGAATGTGGAATGCCTTAGGTATCTCACTTCTTTTCCCAAAAAAGATGCTCCTTGTTACGAGAGCGTGCGCTGTTTTTTTGCCAAGCTTCCCATCAGTGCTCAAGCAGCAGAGCGGCACAGCAATGAGGTGGTCTCCAGTACTGAAGCACGTGTAGGGGTGAGGAGGAACAGGACAGGACCATCTCCTCGGCTTCGCAGAGCCGACCGGGCTGAACACAGACTTGGAGGGCTGCGGAACGCTTCACGTGAGCTGCGAGCGCTTCCCTCCTCCTGCCACCTTGAGAGCCCCATCACACTCAGGAATGTCTTCAGTCTCTCTGTAGGTTGGTGCTGCGGCATCCTACTCCCACCATTGACAGGGCCTGTATTTTTTTTCGTTTTTTTTTTACTTAAGTGAAGCTTAAGAAAATGTATCTTTAGATTGCTACTTCTAAATAACGATCTTTAAAAAACACAGTTATTTATACTAGGCAGTAAAATTAAAATACAGAGAACTTTAGGGTCCTTGAAAGGCTTGTTCATTCTCTGATTTCTTCTAGATGCATTTGCATTACGTGTTTTCACAGAGAACAGTGATAAAAATGCTAGCAGAATAGTCTTCAAACTCTGGTCAAGAGAACCAGCTCTAGCAATCAGGCTTCAAGGATCCATAACACCATCAATTAACAGTTGCCTGAGTGTCTGTCTTGGGCCATCTAAAGACTTCTTGGAAGGCAGCATTCCACAGACAAATTTGGCTTGACCCTTCAGCTGTGCACTTCATGCTCATTTGTTACAGCAGAGCCAGCTTACAGTAGCTTCGCAGTCCACTTGCAGATTTTTTTGTTCAGGCTTTCAGTGGGTCTGTTAATTTTGTTTGCTGCTACTCAAAACCCAAAAATCAATCACAATCCCCTGCTCCCCCAGCAAGCTATAGTTTAAGAGTGAATTAAGGGACTCCCCACCTTTTGAAAAGAAGCAGGAACAGTGTCGCTAGACTCTGAAGCTGGCTTGTGCTCATAACATCTCAATGAAATGGCTGCCCTCACTTTTTAACACGGTAAGAATAACGACTTTAGAAAAGCATTAAAATCCATGACTAGATTCATGCTTTATAGATTTCCTGTGGGGCCTGAGATACCGCCGACGGACAAGTTCTGGTCCCACTGAAACCACAGGAATTACGTATCTGTGATCCACATCTGTAAGAGATGGAAGCATTTCTCTCGGTCCTAAAACACGACCACACACATTAGCTGTTCACCTGCATTGTTTTCCAGACCAGGTATTTCTTTACTCTGGGTTTTTACGACAGATTTTCCTCACTGTGTTTTTCACAAGGCATTGCCTTCTTAAATTTATCAAACAAGTTGCAGGCAACTTTGAGAAGAGAGGCTGGAATGTGTTTCGAAATTCAATACGCTGAATTACACATGCAATTATAATGGAGACAAATTCAGTCCTCATCTTTCTAGGTTCTTCTGTCTGTAAGGCGTACGCAGGACCAACCCCTCCAGCGTAGCC